TATTCAAGTACAGTCACATACACACCAAGTTTGTGTCCTCCGTTCACTTGCTTAACTGTAAATAGGTTTATGCATGTGTTTGTTTTACCCCCAGTTCCTGGGCTACAGTTTAAATTCAGCAAGATGCCCTATGCAAAAAAAAAATAAATAAATAAAATACACAAAGCATTTTTTTTTTTTTTTTTTTTGGATCAATTCTGGGAAGAACATCTCCCAGACCTAACTACCATTTTGCCTCACAACCTTTAAACATCAGTAATTTCATTAAATGTTTAGGTTCAGTACACTGGGGTGAATCAAAGGTCACTGGGCCACGAGAGCAGACACAGCCAGCACGTTTCCTGATTAGTGCAGACAGCCACATGTCCCTGGACAGCCAACCAGATTCACACGGTCAGATGCCATTTATGGACCACTGGAATGTGTCCCATCCACATGTCTCTCTTAGAGACATTATAAAAGAGGAGCAGGCTTTACAGCACAATGTGCAGAGGGTAACGCACACAGATACTTGCAAATTTGAATGTTTTCTCTCACACAAACATCTCGAACAGTGTTGTCTCTGTGTCTTTCATCCCAACCTCTTTCCAACTCACTTAATTTCAGATTAGAGAGAGTCGTGTAGACCTCGACCGACGAGACGCGGCCTCACTGTTGAAGGAAAACCAACTCTACTCCCTCTTTCCCACCATTGACAGACATTTCCTCCAGGACATATTCAGAGACCACAAGTGAGACCCAAGTGTATCTTTAAGCCTGCATCTGTCTGGTGTTGTTTGTCAGACTGCATTACAAGACCAACAGAATCAATCAATCAATATATTATTCATATATATTATTTATCTTGATGCAATAAATAATTTTAAAATGGCAACTCAGTTATTTACTGTTGTAAGGAAGTTAATGCCAACCTCTAAAATGGTCTCAAGTCAATTTGTGTTCTTTTAATAGTAGGTTAAAAAGATTTGTGTCTTATATGATAGAACAATTTATACTCCTGACTAATTTCTGTTTGCTTTTCTGCTTGTGTAGTTACAGCCTAACCCAGACAGAGCTGTTTCTTCGCTCTCTACTGGACGAGGAACCCGTCAAAACGGTTGTCGCCCCAGAAGTTTCTCATCCCGACCACCACAGAGCAGCCAGCAAGGAGAGGGAAAAGGTATTCACAAACATGGGCAGAGAGAAGAAAAGAGTAGAGCAGAACAAATGTATACATCCATTGCACATGTATAATTACTATTTATTTTTGAGTGTATAGCCAACCAGGGCTGCCTCAGTCGTGTGCTCCCGTGTGTTTTTGTTGTTGTTGTTGTTGTCGGTTTTCTGCAACCCTGCACGGATCACTTTTACTAGGAGTGAGCTTCCGAACATCCGACTGCTCAGTCTGGACATTTTCTCCCCAGTTTTCATCAATGGTGGAAGCTGTTTGAACATTTTAGTTGGTGCAGTAGCAGCTGTTTTGGGGACTCGGAGGAGATGCTGGAAGGGAAGGAAGACCGGCGCTCTCGTAAGGCCTACAGGAGGGGGATAGGACTCTGTATAACCAGACTAGAAGCACACTGACAAAGGAGATCAGGGTAGCAAAGAGGAGCTACTCTGAAAGGCTGAAAAATCAGTCTAGTCAACAAGCCATCGTCAGTGTGGAGGAGCCTACGGAACATTACTGGGTACAGGAGACCACCTCTCCCCTCTGTCTTTGGCTCGGCAACCAATCAGGACAGGAACAGACTCCAGCGGACAGTCAGAACTGCAGAGAAGATCATCGGTGCCAGCCTGCCCTCCATGGAGGACCTGTACACCTCACAGGTCAAAAGGAGGGCAGAGAGGATTTCTGTAGACCACTTACATCCTGGACACAAAGTCTGAACACTGTGCCCCGAGACAACCAGACACAGAGACAGTTTCTTCCTCGGGCTATTACACTCTTGAACAGCTAGTCTATGTTTGCTCTTTTAACTTTGTGTTTAACTAGTATATATTTTGTATTTATTTTGTTTATATTGCTGTGCACACTGGGGGCCATTGGGCTGGAGTCAAATTCCTTGTATTTTTTATAATACTTGGCTTATAAAGTTTGTGCTTTATGCTTATTCTTTGCCATATTGGTAAACCACTACTAATAGGTCTACCTTTGGTCCATACTGTCCAAGGATGAGTCCTTGGAGTCATGGAAAATATTCCTCTGGGCCAAAGGAGCAAACATTCAGCATCAGCGTTTAAGACTTAGTATTAGCCTTATCCACTTGCAGATTAGTCAATATTGACTTGCAGCTGTGTACAAATAAATCAAGGTATGGGAAACAGTGGAACATGTTGTTTCTGTTAATACACAGTAATGGGAAGATGTGTTATTATTGACATCTAAATCAGCTATAAACTGGCTAATGGCTAAACTACCAAAACATAACAGTGATCATGGGGGGCAAATATTTGCAAAAAAAAAAAAAAGGTTGGGGGGGGGGGCTACCTCAGTATCAGTACAAACTGAAGCTGAATGAGGCCGTATCACAATATATAGGTTATTGATGACTATGTCCACCCCTAATTAGCTGCCTGTATCACCCAGTTCATTTAATTTGTCAGAGGCAGAAGCTCCCGGAGTCTACTGTAGTCGACTATCAGGACACAGAGGACCCAGAATATGAGGATTTCAGGGCCGAGGCCAGCCTGCAGAGGAGCCGACAGCTCGAGAGTTTCGCCAAGGCTGCAGAGGCGTACAAACAAGGGCGCAAAGAAGTGGCCTCATTTTACGCACAGCAGGCATGTGACTGAGGCAGAATGTTTGCTTTAATATTTTGTTTCTGTCTTAAGTTCTGTTTTCTCCTGTGAAGCACTTTTGAAGTTTTATACTTTCTTAACCTAAATTGGTCAGAGGAATATAGTGTAGTGTAGTGTTAGAGGTCATGTCTCTGATGTTATTGTTTAGCTTCCCTCTTTCTTTATTTCTCTGTTTTAAATTTTCAGCTAAAGAGTAAATCTATCTGAATCAGCTCTGATTGTTTTTGTAGGGACACCTGCATGGCCAGCGGATGCGTGAGGCCAATCACCGTGCAGCAGTTCAGATTTTTGAGAGAGTCAATTCCTCGCTGCTGCCCAGGAACATCCTAGACCTCCATGGATTGCATGTTGATGAAGCCCTGGAGCATTTGGCCCAGGTCTTACAGGACAAAACCACAGGTACTTGGCAATATACTATATACTGTATTTGGAACATTAACGTGAAAGTCACCAACAAAACCTGTCACTTTAACACTGGTCTAACCAGCAGTGTTAAACAGTTCATTGCCATCTTGAGTCATTATTACACCTGTAGTGCTGTTCACTTGGTCTGGAGCAAAAAAGCAGCAGCTGCGATATCCTGACTTTTAGTCCCTGGTATGGGTCAGGCTCCAGAAATGCAGGGTTCTACACATCATCCAGGTCACTTTGTACTCCTCATGACAGTTTAACTGGACTTAATGTGTAAAATTAATGGAGCCCCCCTTACATCCAGACTCCAACTAGGGACAACAGCAATCAGAACAACTAGCAAGCACCATTTTCTAAGTTTGCATTCCTGTCGCTTTCAAAGTTTGCCACTCCTCTTAACTGTATTTTGTACTTCTGTGTGTCTTCTTTGGCCTCATTCTGTCTAGATTGTGAGCGGGGTCTGTGTCGACCTCAGCTCTCTGTCATCACAGGAAGGGGGAACCACAGCCAGGGGGGAATGGCCCGCATCCGCCCTGCCGTTATAGACTACCTCACCAACAAACGCTACAGGTATACACATGTATACACTCACACATGCAAACACATGATCAACATCACCCACCTTTTCTCCTGTCTCCTTCTCAGGTTTACTGAACCAAAGCCAGGTCTCTTGTTGGTCTCTTTGAACTGAGAAGAACCTAGTGTACTGGATGCAAGAGGAAGCTGCTATGGAGGACAGCACATTATTTCTTTATCTCATTACATATATAATTATATAATTATAAGTATATCCAGTATGGTACACTTGGCCTATTTTTATACTTACCCCCCCATCTCTCTTATTTCTCTAGCAGTCATATTGCTGCCTGAAATTTAATCATAATCTTTAATCTTGGTTAAATCTTAACCCAGATCTTAATCATAATAAGAGTTTTTTGTGTGTGCTGTGAAGCACACAAGATATTTTTTTATGGATCTATAAAGCTTGAATGTTTATGTTGTATATTTTATATTTAAAAAATGTTTTATAGTGATGCATTTTGCTTTACCTTTGCCTCTATGCCTTTTAAAATGTATAAAAAAAATTGTGTTTAGAAGGCTCTATGTTGAATAAGACATTATTTAATCATTCAGACACCTACTAATCTGGGTCATGTTTCAGAGATAAATATTTGAGGTTCTCTGGGATTTTAAGTAATTTGGCCCCCTTTTTCAAAAATGATTTAAACAGGCTACTTGTCACTAGTTCTGCATTTGCTGCATTCCAAGTTCTCACAAAGGGACAAGTGTTTTCTCTTGGTTCTAGTGTAACTGTGTCTTACTCACCATGAGGTGAATATAAAACTCTTCAGATGATTGAAGGCCAGTAAATAGTGTGAACAACTTCCACTGTGAGCTCTGCAGCACTCTACAAAATACAGCTGTTGGCTTTTAATATATAGTGATATTCAAACTCAGGCAA